AACACACAAGCCTGTCTGATTTTAGTTTTTAAATATCAACATGTAAAATAAAAAAAAATTAAAAAGATGGGCATTCTGGGAGAGAAAGCAATCCCATGCTCCTTCTGAGTTCCTAGGTCTGTGGCGTTCTTTCTTTCTTTAGGCTGATAGAAAATAAAATACAAAGGCTGACAGTCCGATGGTTGTCAACTACTGTACTTCTCAAACATAAACAGAACCTTCAGGAAGGTGGCCTATAATAAGTATGGAAACACCACCACCTGAATACAGAATTCCAAGCAAGAAGCTGCACGTGAAACCCAGAGTGTCAAGGAGAAACACTAACACTACATGCTTTTACAAACATACAACCAACACATTCAGACACCTGTCCCTCATATTTTTTTACTCTCATAGGTGCAAGGAAACAACTGATGGAAGTGTTAAACATTATACTTTTAAGGCAATGTTCTGAACCTTACAGACTCTTCCAGCGAACTACAAAACTTTGCTGGAGAATGTCAACACAGCAAACAGCTGAAAGCAGCTAAAAGGGTGCCTTTAGGCAGCCAGGACAGCTGTTGCAGAGAACAAGCTGCTCTGGCCTCTCAGCTGTGCATCACTATGACTATCCCACCTATGCAATATTGCCTATATTCACAGGACATATACAAGCCCATACCAACATCGAAACCCACACAAACCCACAACTATTTCTGTCGTTCTTTGGTATGTGCTCCTGGATGAGTTAATTTTGCTATTCAAGTTCCTAATGGCGTTGAGAGGCCAGCCTCACGCTGCAGAAAAAAAATAACTGGCGCCCCTTAGTGTTCAGATTTTGAAGTCTTCAAGCAATTTACTAATTTGCATGAAACATTTTTTTTCAACATTCCAAAAAGTTTTCTGCCTCCACAATACTTCCATCCAACTGCCAACGTAAACAGGAAAAGCGAAAACGCTTAAAGGGATCGCAGAAATATTCTTGAGACTGTTTAGAAACCCAGTTTTTGGTTTATTTTAATGAAGTGCACAAAGAAGAGCTTCGACACAACCCTTAGACAACTTTTTCTCTAAGAGTCCCCACAGCACTCATTTGGGAATTGAGATACTTCAGAAAACAGTTTCCCAGTGCATTTAGTATTTGAAAAAATTAAAATCTCAGAAAATGCCTGGATTTCAGATATTCCTTTGTGTGTCCTTTTTGTACAGAAAATGTTTTTCTCTCTTTTGTATTCTGAGGAAAAAAAAACAACAACAAATTGGGCCTTCTCTGGTCAAGAATATAAAGCTGAAGAGATTCTGGAATTCAGAATTCCAACACCAAGTCCCTGTGAGGCTCTTCTGGCTTCGGAAAACAAAAAATGAAGAATTCTTCTCAGTTACGTTTCTTCTCACCGTTTTCTATACTTCTAAATGATCTGAAGAGAATGTTTTCTGGGGTGAACAAGAACACGCCAAGTTCTACGTAGTTTTGCTTTCCACATCCAGATTTTCTCTGCTGTAACTTCACCTCCCAAAATTCTTGGAAGTAAAACCAGAACCTCCCATTATACCACTTCCACAGTCTTTATTCTTTAGTCGTCCACTTTTGCTCGTTTGCTTTATTGCTCATTCTGAAGACACCATTCCTGATACGCCGGGTTTGCAGCACTACAACCACTATCTGTTTTTCACAGTCTTGGAGAGGGCGGGGAGTTGTTCTACCAAATATAACCAGCGCCTTCATCTTCCGAGGTCAACAAAGTTCTGTTATCAAGGAGGACTATGTCCACAAACAGGAATCCTAACTCGAGATCATGAAACTGGGTAATTTCACGCAAAGGATCTCAAGAAGTTGAGGCTGCATAAATAATTCCCGGTTTTAGAACGCATTACAAAGCTACTAAATATGACAAACGGGTCTAACTCTGCGTAAAGCCTGAGTCTGAGGTGGAGTGAAAAATAAATGCTTCTAACGAGAAAACTAAACGTGTGAACCCAGGCAGAAAGCAAATTTAAGTGCCACGAACGAACGCCCAGCCTGACTTTCAGCACAGTGGGGCTATTATCACATGGAGAGAGCCGTGTGGGACGCACCAAGTTGCCAGCCTTTACTTTCCCTTTCCCCCCAAACGCGGTTATCCAACAGCGGAGAGCGGCCCTACGGGGCTGCGCACAAAGGGGGGCACCCCTCCTCTCCACTGCCCTCCCCTCCCTCCCGGAGCAGAAGCTGCCCCCGGGGCCGCCGGCGCCCGGTCGGAGCCAACGAGGCCATTTCGTAAGCACGGGGTGTTTTTCTCCCCGCTCAACTCGCACATACGAGTCTTTCAAGTTAGTTTCTACAGAAGGGAGAGCCGGGAGGAGAGCCGACCCGCTCCTCTCCCCACGCGAGGGGACCGCGAGAGCTCCGCGGCCGTTCCGCTCGGGTGGGGCGCGCCGCGGCCGGAGCTCGGCCCCCCGCCCCCCGTAGGCCCCGCTCCCCCCCTCCGGCACCGGCCCGGCCGCGCCGCGGGCCCCGCTCCTCCTCCTCCCCCCGGAGCGCATTCCTCAGCTCCGCGCCTCGCTCCCTCCCTCCTCCCCCCCCCCAATCTCCGGAGGACGGGAGCAAAAGGAAAATAAAATACTACTAATAATAAAAACGCAGCGAAGGGAGCGCCAAGAGCCGGGACCCGCGGCGCAGGCAGCGGCCGGGGCGGGGAGAGCCCGCACTTCCCCTTTGTTTGGGGCGCACCGGGAGAGCGGAGCGGAGCAGGCCCGGCGCTGCCCCCGCCGCCGCGAGGGACCCGGCTCGGGGAGGGACGGGCCGGGCGGGGCGCGTACCTTCGTCCAGCAGCCGCTCGAGGTGGTTGAAGATCCCGCAGAAGTTGGGGAGGCTGCTCATCAGCTTCTTGTCGTTCATCAGCTGCATCAGGTAATCGGGGCTCGGCTTCGGCTTCTCCTTGGCTTCCATTTCCCCAACCATATTCCAAGCCCGCGCGCACAGGGCGAGCGCCCGCAGCAGCTCCGCCGAGCGAGGCGACGGCGGCACGGGGCGCCCGGCGGGATCGGGCGGGCCGGCGGGGGAGGGGCGGGGCGGGGAGGGAGCTCCCCGAGGAAGGAGGAGGAGGAGGAGGAGGATTCCGAGCCGCGAGCGCCGCGCTCCCGAGTCCGAGGGGCCGACGAGGAACGGGAAAAAAGAGGAAAGTCGGAGAGACCCCGCTGCGGGCGCGCCCTCCGCCCCGGCCGCGCGGAGTCGCCGCCGCCGCCGCCTCTCGGGGCCGCCGCTCCCCCGCTCCGCGCGCCCTCGGCCGGTGCAGTCCCGGCCGCGTCTCCCTCCTGCTGCCGCCGCCGCTCCTCCCGCGCCGAGCCCGGCTCCGCTCCGCGGCGCTGCCCCCGGCTCCGCGGCGGGGGAAGGGAGGGAGGGAGGCGGGGAGGGGACGAGCGGGGCGGGCGGGCGCTGGCGCTGCCAAGGAGCCGCCGCCGCCGCCGCCGGGCTCTCTCCGCCGGTGCCGCTGTTGTCGCCGCCGCGCTGCGCCGGGCGCGTCCTCCTCCTCCTCTGCGCCTGCCGCCCGCCCGCCCGCCCGCCCTCCCGCCGCCGCCGCCGCCGCCGCCGCCTGTGGCTGTGAGCGTCAGCCCCGCCGCCGCCTCCTCACTTCTCCTCAGTTCGCTCTGGAGTTCGCTTCAGTTCAGGCTGCGCTGGCAGCAGCGGCAGCGGCGGCAGGAGGAGGGGAGGGGGCAGGGCCCGCGGGGGCGGGGACATGCCGGGGGCGGGACGTCGGGCGGGGCGGCCGTTACGCGGCGGCAGCAGCGCCGCTTGGCGGAGCCAACCGCTGCCCGCTGCCAGCTGCCCGCGCCCGGCGGGGCCGGGGGGGGCGGGGCCGTCCTCGGCCACGCCCTCTCGGAGCCCGCGCGCGGCGCGGCCCCGCCGGCTCGCCCCGCGGAAGCACGCGCGCACGGAACTCTTCCAAACAAAGTCGCGACGCTGCGCCCGCTCCGCCGGCGGCGAGGGGCGGAGCCGGGCCGTGTCACGTGCACCCCGAGGCGGGGAGAGCCCCAGCGCGACGCGCCTGCGCCCGGCGTTTACAACCGCGCTTCGCGACGCCGCCGTCTCGCGCCGCGAGAGGAGTAGACGGAGCTGCGGCGGGAGGTGTTCGGCCGCGCCGCGCGTGCGCCGCCGGGGGGTGGGGCGGGGGGGAGGGCGGTGCGCGCGGCGGCGCGGCGCGAGGAGCGGTTTGTAATCCTTAAAGCGGCCGCGGGGCTGGAACGGGGAGCGGCGCGGGCTGAGGTACGGGACGGCGCGGGGGAACTCGGCCTCGGGGACAGGGCGCGGAGAAGGGGCTGCAGCGAGCCACCCTCCTCTGCGGCTCCTCAGCCGGGCCGCCGTCCTCACGCCGTTGTGAGCCGTTTGATGTCCGCCTGCGGCGTCGGGGGCCGCAGAGGGACTCCGGCCGCGTCCGCCTCCAGCGGGGGCGGCTGGCGGGCGGGACGCTGCGGGACGCGGGGCTCTGCGCGCGCCGCTTCCCTGCGAGGCCGGCGTTGAGGCGATGTGCAGAAAGCGGTCGTAACGCGCAGTAAAAACCGCTCCACGTTTCGATGTAGCTGGCCGGAAACAGTCGGCTCTGCTAGGAGAGTAAAAGCGGAGGTACCGCTCGGAACTCCCAAAAATTCGTCTGTATTTCCATACGTGCTGCGCGGCGTTCGAAGATGATTAAAGCGCCGGGTTAAGTCAGGGTGAATAGCGCCTCCAGCACCAAAAGCACCGCCGCGATGCCTCCCTGGCTGGTGTGCGGCGGTACTGCGTGCTGCCGAGCTGCCATCCTGCTTGTCCCGAGACAAAGCGCTGGAAAAAAACGTACAGACAGTGCGGTTCCCTTCGTAGTAAGAATGCCCTCGGTGTCTGCCGTCCTTCCAGCGTCTGTTGGATCGTTCTCATTTAAACACGTAGAGCTCTTTATCTAGACGCAATAATTTGTATTTCAACTTCCGGGTTTGGTTTATGTGAAGTAAAATTTAATGGTTTATCTAAGATAAGACTTTTATTGCTTCTATCATTTTTTTTTTAATATCGTCCTTATTATCAAAGAGAGCAGCGACTTTGCAGACTACTGTTTTGTTTTGCTTTCTTTAAACGCGGGTTGCTGGTCCCTCTGTCGCATGCCCAGAGCACGCTACAGCATGGCTATGGATGATGGCACAGTGCTGCTTCTATTTAGTAACAAGATTGTATTTGCTCCATTCCTCTCTAGTTTTAAAAGCCTGATGAGCAAAACCAAACCTTACGTGCCAAACTGAACTGTCATCCACTTCTGCTTATTATGGATCAGCCTGAAGGGTGGGTGCGTTTTTGTAGCCGTTTATTTATCTGCTAGCTTTTAACCAACCAGTGGGTAAACTGCTCACTGAGTGCTCTGGTGTGATCGAGGCCATCAGTGTCAGACTGCAGGCTGCATCTTACAATTAGATGAACTTAGATAAAGTCAGAATGATTATTCTGGACTACCAATTCTCACAGTTAAAATAGCATAAGGAGACTTTTTTTTTCAGAAGATTCAGTACAGCTGTTCCCATGCTGCTTCATTATTGCTTCCTGTACGTAAAGTGCTTCCACTGCTTGGATATGAGCAGATGAAGCAAGCACACAATATAAGGTAAGAAATACCAACATGAGATATGCAATAACTATCTGTTGTCTTGCCTACTGAGAACAATACCTCTTATACTAAGCCATTTTCCATTTATTTACTGGTGAATAAGGTGTTGCACACCAGCAGTTACTGGAATCATTCATCCATTTCAATGCAAATTCAAGATCTGTTTTGCCATGCATTAATCTGAATTGTTTTCCTAATCTGAACAGTACAAAAATGGAGGCAGTGCTACATGCTGAGACTGCCTGTGTAATTAAGGATAAATGACTTAGGAAAAACCTCTAATCTTTTATTTTGTCATGAGTGCCTCAAGACTGAATTTAAATCATCGGAAAAAAACTGCCCTTGGTGTAGTTGAATGCTGTGACAAAATGTAGATAACACACCATTAGTTTTAAATAAGTAAATTAGTACGACATCTTTCTTCATCAAGTATCCTGCAAAAACAGAAAATCTACATAAAAGCCTTTCTTCATACCTTGTGTTCTATCTTCCTCCACCTTCCTACGCTTCCAGGAAAGGGGGGATTAAGAATGTATGGGAGATAAAGGTTGAATTAGTTCTGCTTCAAGAGCTATGTGAAGGTATAGCTCCCAAGAAGACTGGCCTGCCTGCAACCTGATCTACAGAGGAATCAGAAATACTCCTGCTTTGGATTGAACTTCGGAGTTTTCCCAGGAGGGGAAGAAATACGGAGGGGGGCAAGGCTGGGTAAACAGGGCTTGTGGTTTGGTGGGGGCGGGCACGTTTTCTGTTGTTTTGGTTTGTTTGTTGGACACGAAACAGGTCCTATGGCTTGTTAAGGTTCTTCAGGTAATTCAGGTAACTACGTAACTCATTAGTTTCTGTCTGAACACGAGCAGAAGTCCTTATCTTTAACTCCTGCATTTTATCTAGGTAGCCTTTCTATAGTCATATAAACTGTAGTATTCTCTGGCAGCTTATTTTTAAAGGTGAAGTTTTATTGCATTAATCTAATCTTGAAATAAGAAAAAATATGATAATGCCAGCAGCAGTCTCTGTCTAGGGCAGTAAAGGCCTTGCACTGATCATAAAAAGCAAATTCAATTACTGCTATAATGTTCATATCTGATAGCAGCTTGGGAAGTAGGAGTGCTGAAGGTTGATGACTACTGGGAAACATTCTTTTAGTTAAAGCGTCTCTGTTGACTTAGGCATATACAGTTGGATGTCATCAGCTTTCTGAAATGCTTTCTATAACAGGAAGGTAACAACGTGCTATATTACCCTTCTTCAGGAAAGGAAGCCGTTTTTTCCTTACCCATTACAGTCATCCAAGGAAAAATACTACTCCAGGACTGTTGTTGATTCATTCATGGTGTACAAGGCAGTAGCAGCTGTAACTATGATGCAGCAGATGTGGCCGCTACCAGATGGACATCTGAAATTCATTCATCTCTCCAAGGTGACTAAAATACGAACAGAGTAACATCTAGAGCCAGACTGAAAATACAAAGAACATCAACAATATTCAGATTCTGTGATGCCTGACAACTGTTGAAAAGCTATTTCCTTTGACATTAAGCCAAACTGACAGCTAACTTTTCAAACAGAAACTGTAGTAGCACGTATGTGAGTTTGTTCCAATGAACCACTTCAAGTTCTTTAAATGTTTATGCTAAAAACTTACCTATCTACTCTCTATGCCAGGTGTACCTATCTATGGAACTGCATGCTTCATTCCAGTTTGAATGTTTTCCTGACACAGCACACTTGAAAAGATGCTCTGACTTTGGTTTAAATCCCAGCACAATCTTCAGATGTTAAGCTCAGTAAGTTGAATCAGAACACATTTTGCATAATCTCTGCACCTAATTTGTGTTCACTCTCAGCACTGAGCATTTGCTGTAGAGGGGAAGATAGAGGTTTTAAGCACATCTTAATCATCATATCCTGATGGACTTTTCTTCAGAAAAGATGAAAGTTCTAGTACTGAGCAGAGATATCTCTACCTAGAGAGGGTGGTAGTTCTGCCAGGCTCCTGAAAAACCTCTGTAGTGAACTAGAACCTTCTAGAGAACTAGGGTTTGTAGTGGCTTCATTTCATGCTCTTCAGTGCAAGATGAAAATGATGTTTCTCATATGCTACTTTTAGTGTAGTGTTGCTAAGAAAGGCAGAAAACAGGAAGAGGGAAAGAAAGAAATCTCAGAAAGCACAGAAAAAATATTACCACCAATTATGTAGAGAAGACAAAATTGAGATGTATTGAACATAAAATTTACCTACTTTGTTTCGTGTTCTTAACAGCACTTAGACTTAAAAGCCACAGAGAAAAATACAATTTTCACAGAAAATATTTGAATTGCACACATTTAAAGAGTATTTTTTACCTCCAACCTCTTAAACTTCCCTCTGTCTTCTAACTTGCAAACACATCCATTGTTTTTTTGCATTTTGCTATTTGGGTAATCATTATTCTTACTTGTTCATTAAAAGAAAAGGAATCTCTTGAAATACAGCACGCATACTTCTAATGTTTCCAGTCCCATCTGCACTACTATAAGTTTAGTCACAGTGCAGGTATTCTGTTTTCCATCTGTAAAGTCACAGAGGTACTACAGTAGCTATACAACTGCAGGTTTCAGTAGGAGAGAATTTCAAATGGCTTCTGGTTTGGCTCTTCTGGAGAACTCGTATATGAAAACAACGAGTAGCCTGCCTGTGCCATGGATTATACGAGTGAGAGCAGTGGTAATTATGTGCTGCCTAACTCTGTGGAGGCTCTGAGAAGACCATTGCTGAACATGTCTGCCCAGTTAACACACGCTCAAGTTAAGACTACAATAGTAAGATATATAGAAATTCAGAGTATTAAGATGTCTTAGCCATTATTTGTTTCATACATGCCAGTTTTATTTTTTAATTTATGTTAGCTATGTACTTTAAACCTACCCAGAATACTGTTCTGCATTTAATTAAGTGAAGTCAGCTGCTTAAAAATAGTGCCACCAGCAGTTTTTTTTATTCACTATGTATAACTAAAAATACAATGTTCAAATACATCTCCATTTAAGATACATAATAAAAAAGTATTTTTATTTTTCACAGTGGAGTATTTTCACACTTTCTATAGAATTAAAAAGTAAATTAGCATATTTATTTTGGCAACAACAGTAGCAAAGAGCTGTCAATTCTGTCAACAAGAAACCGAATAAGTCTTCTGCTTTTGAGGTGTCCCATGTTTTGGTAAAACGCCATACTGTGTTGGTTATTGTTGAATATAAATGAAATGCTTTTAGCTTTAACTTTGTAAATAGATTTAAATTAACCATTCATCTGAATTACTACTAAAAGCAAGTAGAGCTTAAAATGCAACCGGTACATTAATTTATTTTTTCCTTTTAATGTCTGAAATGTGAACATGTATGTATATTGACTTATACTGAAGCATTGCTGGTGTTGCTTATGCTTCTTAACATTCAGTACACAAAAAGTAACAGTCAGTACTTACCCAAGGAGCTTATATTTAACTGGACAGAAAACATCTATATGAATTACAATGATATACTACACTTTAAACTGGCTGTAATGAACAAGAATCATTTGTATTGGCTGAACTTTCTAATAAAATATAATCAAACTAATTGGACAGATCCAGAATTTTTTTTCCACTCAATCTTTCATATATCCCAAATCTTTCCTATTTATTAAATCTTTATTATATGCAAGTCCTTTATTCTTTATCTAACAGTGGCAAATTAAGAGACATACCTGAAGCGAAGAAAGAGAGCAGGCAATATGAATCTTAGATGCTTCAACAGCATTCCTTCAAAGTAAAGGATAGAGTGCAGTGCTACAGCATCATTGATTTCCCATGCAAGGCAGTTATCCTTCCATACTACAGTGCTACAGTATGGCCAGAAGCTTGCAGTCTGCTTTATCTATACATAGCTACTATTGCATTTTAAAAAGAAAAAAGAAAAAAAAAACACAGCAGAAATGGTTTTCAATCTCATATTTTTTGTGTTGTTTTTTTTTTCTTCTTCCCACTATAGAAAGTTTAAACTGGCTTTTGTGTGCAGATGGTTTACTCTCTCCCATTTGTTGCTTCTACACACTATTGAGCATAGGAGGTCTTTCCTGGAATATACCAGCTAGTAGTAGTTACAGTATGCCCAATAGTCCAGTTCAGTGTTTTGTACTCTTCAGAAGTTGTGAAACATTTTGTAAGGAAGTGCTTCAAGTTACTAGGATGAAAGCCAAGTATAACAGTGCCACTGTACCTTGTATGGATTTAAGATTTCCTCACAGATACAGGAAGCATCCCAAGGCTTGTGCCACCACTGTTGGAAATTGTAGACTAGTGTATTGTAAGTCCCAGTTTGACTGTCACTGGAGCTGATTTTGAGGTACGTTGCTTCATCAAGATCATATGATCTTGTTTAGCTAATACTGTATCTCATTATTAATACTGAGTTACAGTATATTTTTTCATTAGAAGAACATGAACACAATAAAGGTTAGAATTCACTTGACTCATGTTGTCCTGCTTGGTGCCCAGTCAGATCTCCAGAAGGTCAATTTTCTTTCATCCTGCATCACATCAGCCTGCTCTGTCTGGAGCTTCTTACATCTTGAGGACATCCAAAACAGCTTCTGCGAGCTCTTTTATAGGCATCTGAATCTCACTGTAAGGATGCAGAAACATTTTTTTTTATTAGTCATTTTTGCTCTCAGAATAGCTGGAGCAGCAGTTTGGGTTCAGGATTCTGTCAAGAGCTAAATTATTCTACTGAAAGTAATGCAGTAATTCCCTAGTTCTGGCTTTTAGAAGTCAATTAGTGTTTTGCATTCAAAAATTCAGTGTCTTGGATCAGACCACAGAGTTGGGAGGGTGCAAGGAAATACTGTGTGAAGTTCACTAATAGCATAGATGCAAAATTGAGTAATCTGATTTTTAAAAGTTATTGCTATTAATTTGAAGTGTTTGAAAATTGTTTTACCATTCTAATAATCTCAGATTCTTGCTTGGCATGGCTTGTGCTTGCTCTCTGATTCGAACTGAAATACAAGGAGAAAGAACAACAGATTTTCTGTATATTCGATTTGTGCAGATCCAATTCATGAGCATAAACATTCCTGTTCATCCTGAACATGAGAAGTTTCCACATGCATACATTACAACTTTTCTTGTAACTTAGAAATGTCAAAGCCCTTTCTCAAATAGGCAGTTTTATATTATGGAATTTGTTTATAGTTTGTAAATAAAGATGATCACTAGCTGTTAACATTATCTTTTATGATACTGTATTAAAATACGTACCTGGAAGTTTCACAGATTTTTCGTTTTTTGAGTGTTTCTTTCATACTTTGATTATGTAAAGGTTGTTATAGTGATTACAGGTTTTTGTTTTTACTGAACATGTGATAGTTCTCTCTCAGGTTTTTAGCCCTCACTTTGACATCCTGATATTACTGAAGAACCGTTTCCCCAGGAGCTTGAGGGGTGGAGAAACGCATAAGTATCCCACAGAGCGTAATCCACTATCCAGTTTACATAACACGTAACAAAATGGTATTGCTAACAAACATTTAGTATGGTGTGACAATACACTTAAAAAACCAGTTGTGGCAGCAACTGTAAAGAAAATGAGGAAAGACAGGAAAAATTCCCTTGAATTTGTATGATTTTGTTTTGATTAAAGAAAGTCAGCATGAAACCATGTATCAGGTATGCCAAAATAGGCAGCTTTCTTTCTACCCACTGTAGAATAGTGTGTACAGTCTGTGTTACTTAGGAAGCTTGCAAACCACATCTGTTAAAGGTGAAGAGGTTGCACTACTGGACTTAAAGCATTTCTCCAGATATTTTCTAATTACTTTTCAGAAGCCATGGTCAAAGTTCATACCAGAAGATGTTTTTCCTTTAGCAAGTCAGTTCAAACGTATACATCTCTACATTGGTTTACCTCCCATGTAGACTATAGTCATCCATTGGATTTTCATTAGAGGTAAAATTGATCTTTTTTCCTGTTTCAAAGTTTGTACACACCTGTCTTCCAGGTTAGAGGTGAACTCAGTTTTATCCCTCTGGCTACAGATAGATCTCGGTGCCTTATTAGATGCCTATCCGAGTAGGTGGAGCTCTGTGTCAGACTGACAACAGGTGATTAGTAAGGCAGTCGTGGCAGTGTTCGCTCAGGCTCATGCCTGAGATGTTATGTTAATGCGTTCTCTATGTTGCTCCAGCAATAGGGCTCTCAGGAGGTCTGTTAAACACCATTAAAAAAAAAAAAAAAAGCAGCTTAATTTAATTAAGAGATGGAATTATAAAGATTAATTTGATAACTAATTATCACAAGTACAAAATAGTAGATTAGTAATATAGTAAGATAAGTGAACATTACCAATAAGTTATGATTTAAATGACCAATTTTGCACATAGTATTGATGTAATTCTTGTATTTTATCTTCAGATAATAAATGTGGAAACTGAAGAAAGACTTATTTTATACTTTAAATAGCAAAAAAAAAAAAAAAAAAAAACCTGCTGCCATTTAGCTTTTTATGATCAAGAATTTTGTTTTGTGTGAAATCGTTATTCATGTCTTTAGTGGTCCTTGTATTGTTTTGGCTGAAAAAGACATCTAAGCACAACGGTTGCAAATTGTCAGAGATTGTATGTAGTGATATAATCCTTCAAAATCAATTTGATCTCAGTTCATGAAGAAATTAAATCAAAATAAAAAACACCTAAAATAATTGCAGAATTCCCTATACAGAGTTGGACTAGATGATCTCAAGAGGTGCCTTCCAGCCTTAACAGGTGACTCTGTACAAAACGTTACAAAAATAAAGTAGGAAGTTTTATTGGCATTCTATTATTTTATTTATGTTTATAATTTCTTTTTTTTTTTTTTTGTCTCAATGTTATATGCTGATGGAATTTTATGGAATTAAATATACGCAGCATTAAGTCCAAATTTTATAAGAGTGTGACTGTATATGCAAATAGATACAGCATGCTTTAAGCTAGAATGTGACCTTTTTGTTTCTCATCGTCTGGTTGCCTAGAATGGCTTTTCGTACAACCTACCTGTTACTTTACCAAGAAGAGGAGGTTCTCGTGTCAGTGTGAATGACAAACAAGTAGAGATGCATTTGGAGAAATCTGTCTAGGTTCTTCTGAAACATGAAGTATTTTGCTCTCCTCTGGAAAAATTACATGACAGAACAAAATTAAGAAGAAAGCACACACATCCTTTGCAACGTTGCCTTAGCCAAGCTAGTCTGTTGGGTCATGCGCGGAAAAACAGCCAAGCCCTAGGACTGAGATTGTATTGACAAGAACAAGATGAATAGCCCCCTGGAGACTACAGGGTTTGTATGCTCGTTTCCACCATCTTTTCATCCTTTTGTACCCTCTTTCACTTCATATGCAGATTAACTCAAACCAAGTCCTCACAGTCCTCACTAAATACTCTTTTTCACTTTAGTTTTGGAAGGTAGGCAAGGATCTAAATATTTATGAGCTTTTTTTCCTCTGGTTTATGATACACTCTTGTTGAATGTTGAGGAATTACGTTAATGAATGCATGCCTGCACACACAGACACAGAAACCAGGCAAAAGGAGGAAACACACAAAGCGTTGTCAACTGTAATGTCAGCACTTACTAAACAGTTCCCATGAAAAAAAAAAAAATAATAAAGGCAAAGATTTAAAATCTGTTGCCAGGAGAAAAATAAATCGTACAGCTGAGCACAAAAGAAAAGAACAAAGTTGCATCTTTGCTTTCCTCAGCTGCAAATGTAACTCATTTCAACTGAGAATAAATTTGAAATGGAACATGTTAATTGAAAAATGAAAGCTTGTTGAAAAAGTCTTAACTGGATTTGTGTCTCCAGTAATGAAAAGGCAAGGTTTCAGTACTGTACAGTTTTCTTCAACATCAGCATGTTTTTTGTTTGTTTTTAAACATGATATAGGTAAGCAAGTAGGGTTTCAAGTCAAATGATTAAATGAAACTTCCTGCTTTTGTTTTGGCGAATAGGATTATTTATGAGCTTCAGATATTGCGAGATTGAGGAGTTTTCTGGAAACTGTAGACTTTTTTAAATTAAATACCTAGAGTATCCTGAGATTATAGCAAGATATTCTAATATGAATTTATTTTCAGTATAGAGAGCTCAAAATCGTGAGTGGAAGAATTATTCTTAGATGGAAAAAAAAACACAGTGCATTAAAACACTAGAACTGAAATATGAATGTAATTGTCTTAATACCACATTGTCAAGATGAGTCATCTTTTCAATCCTTAATCATCTCTACTTTGTGCTCCCTTTTTTCCCCTTTGGATGCACACTCAGCTCTGGTAAACCAGGCCCTGCTTACAGAAGCGGGACAGGAATTCTGTAGTTTTCTTTCATAATTTTGAACTAGAACATGAGATCTTAAAGCCTACTTTCGTGCTATCATTTAAAAACTTACTGAAGGAACTGCAGAATGTTAACTCTCAGCTCTTAAAGTGCAATAGTATTTCACTGTCTAGGTTGTGTTCTTTGTATTCATACAGAGGTTGCTTCAAAAGTAATGCCTCCTATTTACTTCCACGGAAAATACAACAGATGCAAAGAGCACAATAACATTGACAGAGCAAAGTCTCACCTTCAAAATGCTAATTTTCAAAGTAGTCTGAACCATTCACTGGGGATTTTCAAGCCACACTTCCAAAAATCTGCATGGCTGTCCAGAATGTGACTTGTCTCTCACATCGCTATTGACACTGCTGAAACAACATCTCTTGGGGCTGAAACACCTCACTGTGCTCACACCCACCGTTTGGACTCTGTAAACATTCAGCAAGCATTAATGAGTGTCAATGGGTGCCATTTTTTCTACGTGGAGGAATTCAGTTCTATGCTATTGCTTCATAGGCATTTCCACTACAAACACCGTTTTTGTCAGATTGCCTTCCTGCTGCCATCTGTCACACAGTAACAAAACATAACAACGTTGCTAGGAAGGTTCAACCTCTACTGCCGTAACACCAGCATAATAAACTGGGAGGCATTACTTTCGGAGCAGCTATGTCTGGATTTCATAAAACATTGCCTTAATAAATATATTCATGTTTTTGCTGTACTTCATATCGGAGTTGTTCAGTTTTGCATGTAATTAAATCCAATAAAGTTATCCATGTCTCATTTATTCTGAAGTTGCTGTTAAATGTGAGCTTCAAACACTGACTTTACTATTTTTGGCAGCTTTGTCTGTGATACCCAACAGGTGACTGAAACAATTTTTCACTGGAAAATGAAAATTTAGAAAGAATTTCAGCCCAAGCTAGACATTATACAGCTATTTCCATCAGTCAAACCTCAGTCTGGCAGAGTGACACTGAAGACAAGCCTCTCCCTCAGAAGTTTATTTAGAAAGAGGCTGATGTGAGGAACCAGAAAATCTTGCCTAGACAACAGGACTTCAGGCCTACGTGTTAGCTAGTTCACATTCTACCTGTTTTCTTCCTCTAAAACTCATTTGCATCCACAGTTTTATAACCTATTAGAGTAACCTCTGCTTCCAGAAGATGAAAACGTGCAAAAGCAATTATGCAAGTAAACCATGGGTTCTTAAAGGCAAGGTCTTCTTTCCTCTTAAGTTTTCCTTCAAGAGTAAACCAGGATGGACTGCATTCCTCACTTCTCTGAATCAGAGGTTCCGACAACAGATTCAGATCTCTGGTCTCAATGCAAAATCCTAATTTTTAGGAAAAAAAAAAGTAGTGGAGTTGATTGCTCCCAGGTACCAAATCAGGATTATGAGACTGGTTACAATTTATATCAGTAAAAACCTTCCCTTAATTGTTTGCTATCTAAAGAACTTGCTTCAAGCTCCTATGTGTTTTCTACTTTATTATATAATATATACATATATATAATTTTATACACACACACACAAAATTTCAGGTAAGTTCACTAAATATTTATCAATTGTGGCAAACACTAAAAATGAGTTATGTCCCTTTTCCCTAAGGCTGCCTCCAGTATTGATGCATATTACCAGCAGGCAGTGGAGTGCAGTTATGTTTCCAAGGAAGTTTTCTTGGATCTGCTTGATTTTTACACCAGGACTTTTTCCAATATATTCCTGCATAAATTTACCTTTTTTTATTTCCCCCCCCCAAATATTTCTTACAGCTGAATCATAATACTCAACGTGCAAACAGCAATTTGACCTAAACTGTGAGAAGTCTAGCTGTTTCTGTATTAAACTAGTAGAATTATCGCATAGATCATCCGTGAATGGCACTGAACTGAAAGGTTTTTGTTGATGGGATGTTTGTGGTTTTTGTTTGAGTTTTAGATACATCCTTACGGTATTCCTCCATGGTGTCTAAACAAAGGGTGTAGCGTATAAAATTTAAGTTGTCAGAATTTTTTCTATACTCAAATGAGTAAATTTTGGATGGACCCAGAGCTCCTAACAGATGTACTTCCCAAAGAGCTGAATCCACAACTAGCCAAGCACTTAGAGGTTAAGCATAAGATGTACTAATACAAGTTTCTCTGAAGGCATTCTCTCATTTTAAAAAAAAAAAAAAAAAAAAAAAAAAAAAAAAAAAGGCAGGTTTGTTCATCATCTGATAATATCATCATAGCAGGTCTACAAGTTTTCTCAAGTTAAAATAGGTGATGTGGGTTCCCCTTTCCCTATTGTCAAGTGGTATATAATGTTCAGATTTGTAGTTCACACTCACAGGCATAGTACTGACCTCCTGCAAATCTGGTTTTCAGAAGTGATCTTCAAACATTTAGAAATTAATCTATGAAGGAACCTCAGCCCACCTCTAGCCATTAAGAAACATTAGCTTTTGTACAGAGCTCCTCTAACAAGTGAATGTTGTAATATCGAAACTGCACGATGCTGGTGAAGTGAAACAGATTGTTCCTCCCTCTTACACAAATCAACTCCAGATTTCTTCACATGCTCTCAAGAGCTCTTGAGAGCAGTTGTTCTTCTAGGCAAGCAGCTTTCAATAACAACAGTGCCCACTTAGCAAAATTAAAGTAAATTTGGAAGAGTTTTCTCTCCAAGGAGTGTTTTTCTTACCCTGGTTTCTCCTGTTTCTCCACATGAAGGGGGCAGGGGCAGAAGAACAGACTTCTGTTTGATAACTGTTTTCTTACCTGTTATTTTTGCCAGCAGAATCTGCAAGCTTTATGAGTAGAAAATGGTATTGGAAAGACAAAAGAAATTGCTGGTAAAACACGGAAGGTTACGCAAGGAAAAATGCAGAACAAACTAATTATGGGATCTGTACCATTTCTTCAGGACTACACATTCCTTACTTCAAAACAATCATTTACCAGCATTCCATTTCTACCACTTTTAAACAATTACCATTAATAATTTTCTCATTAGGGATACTCTACGGTAACTTGTGAGAAATCTTGTTTTAAGAACTACTAAATATCAGGAATTAAATACGACAAAAACTTACATAAACCTCAAGCATCATTCCTTCCTAAAGATCATTCAATGTTCCTAAACCATGTGAACTGAATTTGTTTGCATAAATGTATTTCCACCAAATGTCAGTGCTTATAATGCTCATGTACTAATTACATGATCTAATTTGGGATCTTTTCAGAAAGGATTTCTGAATCAGTTCTTTTGCTTCCTTTAATTTGTCTTCTCAGGCTTTCACAAGAAACTAGAACCATCCTCAAAGGTGAAAAGTAAAGAAGCATCTTAATTGTGCTGCTTATTTGAAGGAATTTTTTTTTTTCATTTGTTTTTAAACACCGTCATTTTATCAGGGTGATTTTAATAATAATGTCTTATGAGGCAATGGAGTGAGACAAACGGTATCTATATTCCATGTCAGCTTTTAGCATGGACTTTCTGGCTGCATCTATTCTAATAAATGAAGCAAACAGAAGCAGGATCCAAGCACAGGGCCATTTTCCTACTGGAGCTTTCATCCAGTACAGTGGTGGGCACTACCAAGCGATGCCTGGCAAGCCTTCAGCAGAGTGCTAGTTGGTATTGAGGGAAAAGCTTTCAACTGCTGGAGCAACCTGGGGACACACACACCTGGACACATCCCCTGTGCTGCTGAATTTCTTAGCATGGACATGCGAGTCTGAACAAACTTGGGATTATTCTATCCCTAGATACCCCATTTGTGGGGAATAACTATTCTTTCCTTTCTTGTTATCTGCTACATCTACTTGAATCATTTTTTTTTTTTTTTTTTTTTTAACCAGAAACAGTATCATCTATTTGTTATTTGGATACTACTAAGTATCAGAACTTCAATTTGAGGTTACTACACAGTTTAATGAGAAAAGTAACAAAACACTAAAATTTTAAAAATCCAGATAAAAGAAATAAACTTTAGCTCCCACACAAGTAGTGATAATTGGCTTTGAACTATAAGAGAGGAAATTTAGGCTAGATATTAGAAAAAAAAATCTTTACTGAGAGGGTTGTGAGGCACTGGAACACATTGCTCGGAGAATCTGTGTATGTCCCATCTCTAGAGATGTTCAAAGTCAGACTGGATGGGGCCCTGAGTAGCCTAACCTGGTGGGTGGCAGCCCTTCCCACAGCGGGGGATTGAAACTGGGTGGGCTTTGAGGTCCCTTCCAACCCAAGGCATTCTGTGATTTATGGTACTAGTGTGAATATATGAGTATATACTAGAAGACTAAAATACGCTGTACAAAAGAGCCCTACGTTACCGTGTTCCTCTGCCAGTAAAGCTCAGATAATCTATTACACATCTATTTCACAGAAACAATTAATTTGATAAACTTGCTTGACTGTTCTCAAAAAAGCTGGACATACTTTCATATAGGTATATATGACACTCAAAACTGACTGTTTTACAATGAAAAATTGTAGTAGCTAGTATCTGTTGCTCTCAAGTTATCTTTTAAGATCAAGTTGCATAATATATTATTTAAATTATTGCATGGAAAAATCTATGAAGGATGAAGTTAACTGCTAAGCTGAGGGACAGCACAAGGAAAGCAGAATGTAAATACGGGACAAGTGCTTTAATAACTGCATACTTGAAACCGAATTTCCTTCCAACAGTGGTAACCGTAAATGAAGCAAGAAAGTCAGTAACAAAAATGGTGAAGGACAATAACTGCACAAGCAGGGAGCCTGCACAACATCACCACCAGACACAGTTGTAAGTTAGAAACTTTAAATCAGCAATTCAGAAACCTGTGAATCTTTTTCCTTTCTAGTAATTATAGTCCTAAGTAAGATTGGTTGAGAGACTCAAATGTCAAAAGCGCCTATCTGATCATACTTGAGAACTAGAGTCCACAAATACTTCTGACTTCATCTGGGTTCCCCCCAGAGCCTTCATTCTAAATGTCTGTATAGTACCAGCTGCCAACATTTTTGGGAATAAATGTATTGAATACAAACTACAATTTGTGTTAGGATTCCTTCAGGTGATGATAAATTATGCAACTCTGCAAACTAAAAGTGCATTTCTTCCTTTAGCCCGAGGAAAATAAATTTTAAAAAAGAGGAAAGCAGTTATTAAAGCCCTTCAAACCTGATTAAAGTCAAATTGCAAGAAGCATTTACTTTAATATAAAATATGTGCAGTAACACAACCTTAATTAGACACACATCTCTCAAGATATCAATAGATGTTTCCTTTTTGATAAGTCTGATTTCATAGACTGTAATAACAGGAGTGTTTCTGAAGCATAATTTAGGGAAGTAGGAGAAATAAACATGCTCAAATATTTAAGGCTCAACACCAATTAGCAGACCATTCTTTTCAAAGAAATAGCTGAATTTCAAGTTTGTTAGCTTCAGCCAAACAGGATAAAGGCTTCATTTTTAGAATAATTAGCTCCACAGCTCAAGACAGAGCTTCTGGATGTTGGTATCTTGGTTCACAGAAGGTTGCACAAGCAACAAAACATGTTAGATGCTTTCTAGCTCAGCAGGGAATTAGAAAATAAATTTGAAGATAGGCCTCAACATCTGAAGGTTTATTGGTTCTGCTTCAGCATGAAGCTGAAACTGAGAGGTCAAAAATGGGATCCCCTATATTTCATGGCTATCTGGTAACAGTACAGTGCTCAGCTTAGCCACCTTGGCTGGGTTACCACCTTATGTACTCTTGAAGCAAACTATGCACGCGTTCTTAGAAATCCCAAGTAAGGCTTCTGCACTCATTCTCTGAAGTACTCGCACTCCCTTTTTGACCCTTCACACCATAAAAACCTTCTAAATTTACTTAGAATCACCAAAAAATGAAGTTCTAGCGCCTCTTCACTGACAGGTTTCTGTTCTAATTTTGACACGGAGCATTTGTATGTTGAACCAGGTCTTCCTGGTTATATTTCAGATGTGAAAATGAAAGTTAAAAACAAACAAAAAGCTGCTAGACAAAAGGAGGATCCAACATGTCCCTCAGTAAAGGAAGGAGTAGCAGGGAGGAGTAGCAGAGCCAGCAATGAAATGAAATATAGTAGTGACCTAATCCCTAAAGCTCACATTAACTAGTCTGCAAACAAGGCCCAGGCAGTAGAACAGATCTCTTCACTCTGAGATCTCAGTCTTGCCAGCCAGGAACAGAACGAATAGTCCTACAGTCACATGACCTGTGCAAACACTCACCTGAATCTGTACCATCACTGTTCGATCTTCTCCAAATGTTTTCCTGAGTATTGTTGGGCACTGATTTACTCTGTGTAAAAGTGAAAAGCCTCAGTTATTCTGCTGACACAGAATGTCAAGGAAACTTATATTTGCCCAATTTTTTGTAACCCATAAGCAAAATTAAGTGTGAAGTCAGCAATGAGTCTAAACTGCAATTAGTTCGTAAAACCAGTTATTTTCTAAACTAAAAAGATGCCTTTATGAACCTATAGAGGGAAGATTCAAGCTGTCAGTAGATGTTTTGATTCACAGATGTGAGGATTTCACCCCTCATTTTCCAGAATAATGAAGAAAATTACAATATCTCTTAAAAAGATTATTTTTTCTAAACTTCTTTATAACTCCAATAACAGTATCTGACAGGCTTCAGAACTGCCCCAGGTAAACTCTGGCAAACAGGCATTTCACCTGTAGTATTTTCTCTGTTGCATCACATGTTTAAATATGGTGAAATAAGAATCCACAATGAACAGCAGTGGGAAACAGAACATAAAACACAACAAAACTTAACAATATTATGAGCTGCAAATTAACAGAATTTTGAATTTGGCATTTTGTACTTCTTCTTGACATGACCAGCTGTTTAAAAGCATTAAATTAAAAGTACAGAAACACATTACCCAGTGCACATACATGCAGATACATGCACATTTCATATACGTATTACTTATATGAAAGATAGGAATCGAGGCGTCTGCAAGTTGTTGTTTTACTGACTACACCACACAAACTGCTGTGTCACAAAACCACAGCTACATCACAACCCATGGCCCTCCCATGCTATTCCTGCACACTCAGTGGAGGACAGATGTCACATTATGTCCTACTCTGAAACCTCTGAACTCAGATTTGGTGTTAGAATGCACACATTTCCCTTCAGTCCATCAGGACACAGAGGACATCAGTTTATACAAAGGCCTTTGGTGAGGGAGGGAGGTGAAGAAAAGAGCTGCGACTTCAGCGATGCTCAAAGTTGGTCTCTCCTTCAAAAATATTGAAGGGAAGAAAATCCATTGCTGATCAATAGATTTCTCAAAGCCAAATGAAAAATACCATGACGGGAGGACATTCCCCAGGATCAGCATGTAGAGAAGCTCCTTTTCACCCCCTGCCCCAGACTGGCCAGCTCTTCCAAAATTTAAAAGATACTGAGTTTTACCATCTTTCAGGGAAAGTCTCAACAGATAGGAAGTAGGCCTTTTTTCTTGCTGCCAGCACAAACGTCTATTCATCAGAAACCACAACGCATCAAAGAGGATCGAGAGCAAATCTCAAGGAGCAGATAAAGAGAGCAGCAAGCTGCTCCATGGTGATACCAGAGCACCTACAGAGAAATCACTCTGAGGGGGCAAACATTCATCCATGCACACTGGGGCAGAAGCTCAAGGGAGGAGAACAGAATACAGCTTTAAGGTCACCTCATTCCTAACAGCAGCAAAAATGTAGCATGGGAGTAGAGAAATGTGAAGAACTCAACCAATCAACACAGCAAACTCAAGGAAAATGCAGAGGGTGTTGGCAAAGGACAGTGGGTGTGAATGGGACAGAGTGGCTGCAGCAAGAGGTGATAAACAATGCCAGGGGCCTGACAGCTTGTGCTGCAGAAAAGAAAGTTTGTAACTTCAGATCTCTTAAGAATGCATTCATTCACTGGAACAGTTCAAAGCTCAGCATGTCCAGAGCTTCCTGGAACCATTTGTCCCTGAAAAGTTAACCCTCTTTATATTTTAATGTTGCTTTTCTTGATGTTAGACCACACACCAATCCATGCCACAGATCTTCTTCCTGCTTTGCCCCATCACACTGGCTGTACTAAACCATAGCTTCCCAACTGAGCGTTTCACTTGTATTGCCATTTACTAGCAAGTTCTTAACCCTATGAGATTGAATACTGCACACTGCTCAGGATATAGCATTAATAGTGGCAGTAGCCCTCTATCTTTTACTCTTTTGTATGTTACACTGAACAAACAGCCTACTAAAGCTCACATTCTTTGCTGTCTCACCTATGAGAGACATTCTTCTCTTCCTCTCCCCCCCTTCCTAATGCTTCTGCTCCCTCTCCTGACCCACAGCACACATGTCAAGCTTCAAGCTCCCATTTTTCTCTCTCTTGATGCTCTACTTATCCCTGACATTCACACAACCATACTTACCTCCAGATAATGTACACCCCCCTCCCCCACTTTCCCAAGATTTATTTTGCTTCCTCTCCTCCACAGCTCAACCCTCCACCTGCTCCTTAGCCTCCAGGTGATCCCTTTAAAGGCTTTCAGACTGCTACCTCATCTTCATTCCTTTCACCTGCTACTCAGATGCACACATGTAATTCAGACAATCAAATCTACTCAGTCTGCTCTGTCTCCTTTAATTTACCCCATAGCTCGTGGCTTTCTAAGCTTCCTGCATAGTTTCTCTCCTCTCTAATTATCTAGGCTTCTCCCACTGGGCCGCTCCCCCTTAGCTGTGCCAGCCTCTCTTTTCCAATGTCTCCCTGTCCTGCAGCAATATCCACCTTTTCTCATGGCTGATGCCAAACAAGATGAAGTTTTTATTTTGACTTGAGCAACATTAGAGTATTTCCATTGCCACTGCAGCTCTCCATTTTGCTGTGTTGTGCTGACACACAAACGCAGAGGTTTCAATTAGTACATAAACTTGCCAGGGCAAGCATCATTCTTGCCTGAACTGTAAAGGACCTTTTAAGCAGTTAACGATAAATGCAGAGATTTTGACACCATCTTATTTCCAGAGGCCTTATTCTGTGGAAAGTAGAGCTCAGTGATTCCTCTCCTCCTCTGTCTCTTCTTTCCCATTCCTCAGAACAGCTCAGATCTCATGGCAAAAGCATGATTTCACCAGGGTTGTTCTGTAACACAAAAAAATTGCATCGGGCCTCATGAAATGCAAAGGTTTTTAGGGAGCACCACAGACCAGAAGAACAAATGTAAGATATATCTATCATGTTGTACAATGTTACCTAACACTCAGTGTCTCATTCCACTGTTCAATAAAGTTCTTTCTCCACTGAGTATGGAGAGAAGCTTTTCATTTCAGTGCAACATCTGCAGAGGTGTAGTTCGTATAATGGAGGTATAATTTAAGGAACTTTGTATGTATGTATATATATGTATATATATATATACTATATTCTCTGGGGGGGGGAATATATATATATTTCCCCCCCAGGATGTACATTAGATTTAAAGGATCCATTTATTCTGCTAGTATTTTTCAAACTGTTGAATGATCTCCAGTTATCGCAGCCCACTTCATGCATCAAAAGGGATTTTGATCCCATATTCAGTTCCTCTGTTTACCCAATGACACTGCTCACTTGTCCCTTTAAATACTCCTCCTAACCACACACATACTGCTGCATAGAACAGATGGGGTTTATGCCAACTGGCTTTTTTTTTTTTTTTTTCTTATAACCAGTCAAAATGAGCAGCCAGACAAGAGAGAAATTTGCAGAAATTCTCAATTCTTTCTGCAGGTTTCAAGATTTTATGTTGTCATTCACTGAATATGCAACTCCCATGGTCACAAGCACCTGCTGGTTGCATATGGGAGTTAAACAAACTCTTTTTATATGCTACTGCATGAAATAAAGCACAAGCACACAACCCACTCAGCAAGAGGGGCATCACAGCAGCCTTGTTTTTAGGGTAGGCTCCCTGTCCCTCCCAGCTGGGCAGAAGGAATCAGTGAAAGAGGACATTCTTTACCATTCATTCAGTACTTGGGGACAGTCAGGATAGAACCAAAATTTCCCAACTGGGCACAAACAAACGGGAGCTGCAGCTGACACTCAGCTCTGGCAACTTGCAGGAAGATTGCAAATAGTTCATAACAAGCAGAAGTCTTTTTGGCAGTGTGTCATATGTGTATGCAGATAATTAATTTGGTTGGAAAAACTGCAGGCCAGGTACATCCTGAAACTCTTGGATTTATTTCTAATCATTGGAAGACATACTTATATGTTTCCGAACTTCACTATTGCAATTCTAGATTTCAGATTTCTACCTTGAATCTCAGCTGCTTGCTTCAGTCCATTCAGCTCTAGCAACACTGGAAGAGAGGGTTAAATCCTAGTTTGTACTCTTCGGGTTCCTGACTATCAAAAATTCAGACCCAACCATAGCAAATGCAACATTTGCCTACTGGCAAACTCTGTTAAGCAGTACTGTTCAGTTCTTTTGAATGTGCCAGAAACCCTGGAAAACAACTTAAACAAATTTGGAAAATTACTCTTTCTGACTCACTCAGTTTCTTTCCTTTTTTTTCTACCATGATGAAGCACCGAGCAGTAAGAAGGGAGGTTCCGGGAGCACTCAGGAATTCGTGTCCCTGCAGAGTCTGAGTTAGAGATATCAATCACTATGCTGGACCGTTTTATTTTTTCCAGGCTCAGAATTACCAGTTTTTTAGGTAAGTTGCTCTTCCTATGAAAACCAAGCCATCTAATCAATTAGAATTATAGAATCATAGAATCATTTGAGTTGGAAGGAACCCCTAAAGGTCATCTAGTCCAACTCTCCTGCAATCAACAGGGACCTCTACAGCCTGATCTGGTTGCTCAGAGCCTGGTCCAGCCTGACCTTGAATGTCTGCAAGGAAAGGACTTCCACCACCTCTCTAGACAACCTGTTCCACCACCCTTATCATAAAAAAAAAACAAAAAAACTTTTCCTTATATTCAATCTAAATCTCTCCTTTTTTAGTTTGAAATCACTCCCCCTTGTCTTGTCTCAACAGACTCTGATAGTCTGTTGTCTTCTTTCTTCAGACTCTGATAGGATCACAGTACAGTTCAGCTCCCATAGGTTGGTTTTCAACCAGTACTTGACTCAAAGCCCACTGTTTCTGATTCAGACCTGAAATCCAAAAACATTTTTCCAAAAACATCAATCAGTCTAGGAAAAAAAGATTTATTAGCTCTCCCTTGAAGGGAGCTGCTCTTTTGTGAACCCTGTCCCCAGCATGCTCTTAGACCCAGGTTTTGTATACTGCTCTCCGGCATTGTATATTGTGCTACTCTGATTTATCTTGTAAATCAACACCTTGCCTATGTGAAGAATTTTATTAAGGATGCTCTACAGATAATATTGCAGGGGAACAGCTTAGTCATTTCTTCGCTGAAGTTCAGTATAGTTTTTCACTTGCTTATTGCATAATAGTGGCTTGTTTTGGACAAGGCTGGTCCCAAACTCACATTCTTTGAATTTCGTATCTAGATTTTTAGAAAAATCCCAAAGTTCAAGGCAAACTCAAAAGTCTGGATATGGGTCTGTATTTTTATAATCACCTCTAACACACTGTAATTCCTGCACTGCATTATGCAAGGATTCATGGTTTAGTTTCTAGTCAATTTCTTTTCTATTTTTGTCTGTCTTTCTTTAATACTTTCACAACCCCGTGGTTCTGTTGACACTGCAAGACAGAAGTCAGTCCCATACAGAATGCCATGTTTAGATGCTGCAATATGTTGCAGAATACAGAGAGACAGAAATAGAAAATGGCAAAGCATGTGCAAAAGTCATCTCATAAACTTTGTTAAGGCATTCTGAGTTTTTCTTGGAATGGACGATGTTTTATTCAAAATCTTGATGAGTATACATCACTATTTTTTAGTTGACATAGTGAAGAGAATCTGCTTAAAATTGTGTTCCTCTTTCAGTATAAACATATCTCAGTATATATAGGCATCTTATATTTACTCCACTGTAGCAGTGGGGAAAAAGGGATACTGCAGAAAATTTCCTAGCTTCAACTTCTTGACTTCCAAGAAATGTTGGACTTTACAAACCAAAGTGGAAAGAAAAAAAAAAGTCTTTGTATCCAGAATTTGCTGGGTGCTAATTTGGCATGGCAATGAGATGAAAGTTGGATTCATGCTAGTTTCAACATTAGAGGATTGGAATGCAGCCTGCTTAGCACAGAAGTCAAATAATTCACTGGCAATAGATTGCTTTCCACTTCTAGACCTGCTAAATAAATAGAAAACTAATTAACAGTGTAGTATGGCAGATGTAGCAGGTTTAGATTTCGTTAGAGCACTGGCCAAGATCTGAAAGAATCAAGAAGTCCTTCTATGTCCAAGTGCCTAATGAATCTTTCATACTGTCTTTTCTGTGGGACAGACAAAATACTATTTATGTGCCCTCTGTGCAAGAATTTTCTGATATATTTCCTCTTAAAACAAGAATGAAAGGGTGAGTGCCTGAAATTATTGCAAGTATTCTTTTCATTTTTCATAAAATTACTTTGGTTCTGAAACAGTAGAACAGTGTTTCTTTGCCTGGTACGTTTCTGTTCAACTACTGAAAGCTTTATTAAATGTAGTTTTCATGGGACACTTTTATGTTTCATTATCCGTATTTCTTTCCTGCTGATGAATAGTGATAATAGGTTATAGCACATACTTTTCTCTAGTAGCTAGGAACAGAGATCACATAAAAGAATGTCTATACTCACAATCTGAAATGGAAAAAAAGGTTATTTATTTCTACACTTTCTCCACCTAAACACACATCAAACCAAACTTCCTATATCCAGAATTGCATAACCAGATTTGGCAGTATTAATTAACAATAAAACTAGTGTTTTGCCCCATAAGAATCAATAAGATAATTATGTTACTTAGGAAATAGTAGTCATATGATTTTGCTTTCAGTGCATAATGAATAACATTAAGTTCTGTGCAACAAAAAGGTTTTACAAAACAACCCAAGCCACAAAACCTGTCTGAAATTCTTTCAGGAAAGCCTGATTGAAGTCCTGCAGCATCTACCTAATTGCACTAACTCTCGTGTGTGTGTATGTCTATTTGCTTGTAAATACATAAAGACTTAATGAAGAAGTATGTAAATTCTTAAACCGTATACTCCCAGAAGGAAGTTTTGGCCGATGTGCAGGAAATACCAGGGCTGTTTCTGTATTTTAATATCTGGACTTTGGAGCATTTTTGTCACACTTCACATAGCTTCATTCCTAAGCAAAGAATTAAATGTCTTTCAAGTGGTTATTATCAAGCTAAGTGCTGTACATAAATATGCATGAGAGGTCATTAGTGCCAAATGATGATGCTTAAAAGGTTCAAGTGTCTTTTCCTAAGATTTTTCTACTTGCTCTGTGACAGTGCTTCAAATGTGCAGTTGCATCTCCAGAAACCAATTTCTATCTTTCTGCTTCTACCTCTTCTGTTTTGTTGCGGGGACTTTCAGTGACCAAATGTTGGCTCACAGGTACCCCAAACTATGGGCTCTTAAGACCATATTCCAGAAAGCATCCTTGTAAGCAACAATACTTGGGATTCTGTGTTCCTGGGAAATGGTCACCAACACTGCAGCATCATTTCTGCCATAGTCATGATTAGCTTCTCGAGAATGGTGTGAAAGTGCACTGCAGTGATCAAAGACATTTAAATTAAAAGAGCAATCACGGGTATGTTAATAGGGTGGAAGAATTCAAATGCACGCTCCCAGTGACTATGGATCACATTCTATTCTTCTCTGATGAAGGAAAAACCCTAATAAGGTCATGAAATCAGTGTATTTAACCACAAGTCTATAGCCTCTGGGGTGTTTTTATACATCTCCCAGTGATCATTGCAGGAGCTTAGTATGCAGTAAGCTTAGGGTAGGGACATATGCAGCTCTGCTTTTATCATTTGTACTGTGCACAAGATACCTACGGCATCAACAGCTGCATTTGTCAGGTGCCAAGTTTGCTGCATATTTTCCCCTTCCCCCCTGCCCTCCCCCAGGTTCCTCCAGCAGGGGTTTTAGTTCCCTCACGTGCATGTTAACTTGGTGTGATATCATTCTCCCGACTGCATCAACCTTTCCAATGGGCCTGTTAAACCTAAGTCTTTTTTTCTTTCCTTTCTGAAAGCATGTGGGTAGAATGATGAAATGCATCTTCTCGGTCCTTACTCAGCTGCAACAGAAAAGCTGTCTCTCTCCCCATCACAGGGTAGCTTGGGGAAGGTGACGAGGCTGTCCTTGGCTGATGGTGCTCCTTTTCCGCCCAGTCTGCCACATCGTCTGTGATGGTTGTGTGACTCCTGGGTAAC